GGAATTCAAAATTTAGATTTTCTAAACAACCTTGAATGTTCACATAGTTAACACCCAAGTTGTAGTGGCCGACCGGATTTACATGTCTGTTGTTGATAAGTTTTGGTTTGAAGTTTGTTATGTCTCAAATATCTATTTTAAATTCATATATTTTGAGATTCAAATTTTTGAAATTTTCAAACAATGGCACATCATATATCAAAGTTGTAGTGCTTGACAAGACTTAAAACTTTGTAGTTAAATCTTTTTTTCACTTATAAGTTCATTTAGTCGTCAAAATATCCAATACAAGATTACAAAATTTAAAAATAATAGAATCCTATATATACTCACAAGTGAGTGTGTGACGAAGTGGTGAGGAGGCGTTATTACTGAGTAGTAGGTCGCGGGCATGCGGACCATCTCTGTAAATAGTGATTATAATTGATTTTAGAGGCGAACATACCAATCACCTATGTAAATAACGATTAACAATGATTATTAGATAGAGGTGTGTAAATAACGATTAACAATGATTATTAGATAGAGGTGGATGGCTTGCCTGCCTCTAAACATAAAAAAATGCCCACTTTTGAAATCTTTTCTGTGCCAGTGTATTGGCATGGAGAAGTCGTGTATATATAGAACGAAATAAGTGGACGGGCCGGGCGGGCGGCAGAGACCTGAACCTGCATGCATGCAACAAAAGTGAACAGTGCCAGGAGGCGGCGGGCAGGGCAGGACAGGACCGGGCGGGGATCTGAAATTCTGAATCGTGGTGGAGTGGTGGTGGCAGCGTGAACTATTTAAGCCCATGCTCCATCATCCACATCCGCCTCGTGCTGCTGCAGATCATGGTCAGGCGGCCATCATGCATGCGCGCAGCAGCCGGCCGGCCGGCGCCGGCCAGGAACGTGGATCCGGCCGGTCCCCCATGGCCATGCCCGCATGCATGCAGTTCGGCTCACACATGCAGTCACGCGAGCGCGAGCAGGGCACGCGGGGCACCGCGCACCGGTCGGCGGGCCGGCCAGCAGCGTGGCAGGCGGTGGTAGATCAGAAGACGGCGAGCGGAGGACGACAAGCGCAAGCCGCCGCGGCGTACGTACGTCGTACTAGTAGCTAGCTTGGCGCCGGCCCGAGGTCACCCACTCCGCGTGGACGCAGTTAATTGGCATGCATGCATGCAGCAGCGGTTCTGCGTTTGCTTTGCCTGCCTTGGCGTCTTCTTGTTGGGTAGCGGCCACGCCGAATCTTCTCCGTCCCAGCTCAGTTCACCGCGCCGGCCGGCCGGCCGGTCGGCCGGCAGGTCCATCTCTCACCTGTGTCACGGTCACACCGTACCACCGTCGTCGTCCACACAGCCCTCGTTCACGTAAGTGCGTGTACACACGTGCAGACGTGGCCTGAGTGTGTGCGTGTATGTATGTACTCGAGATTCTCTGCTGTTGTTCCATATGATATGGTAGCTTATTGGTATGTATCGGATCGGATCGGAGGGTGTCATTTTGAATTCAAATCCTACAGAGAGAAAAAAAAACTAGAATCTGTAAAACAGTTTTCCATTTGTGATCCCCCCTATGCAGCTGGTTGTTTTCGTGGCGTCAACAAAGTTTATTGATACTTTGTTATTACACTATATGTAAGTACTCCCCCCGCCTTTAAAAACAGTCAGCTATGAGATTTGTATGGGTCAAAGTTTCTTAAGTTTGACTAGATTTGTAGAAAAAAATAAGCAATGTTTGTATCTCCAAATAAGTTTGTTATGAAAATATATTGAAAGATCTATCCAATCATACTAATTTTGTATCATAAATATTAATATTTTGTTATACATATTTGGTCAAAGTTAAAGATAGTTGACTTCTGGGCAAACGAGAATGACTCTTTTTATGGGATGGAGTAGTGGTTAATAAGCTTTGAAGATTAAAAAAAAACCTCTCCGATGCAGAGGGTTTAATACAAACTCTCAAACTATTCCAACATGTAGGTTTTATTTTCTAAGTCAAACTTCGTTAACTTTGGCTAAGTTTATATAAAAATATATTAGCATATGTAAAACCAAATAAATGCATAGATGGCATATTTCATGATGGATTATTGTATGACGATGAAAATATAATTGGATGTTTGAGATATTGGTGTATTTCTCTATAAACTTGATCAAGGCTAACTTTGACTTATCACAAAACTTAATCAACCAATATTTGTGCACAGAGAGAGGATAAGCTAGTGGTTTGATAGGTACATTTCGGTAACTCACTTGTCATGGGCCCCCGTTTGTTTCCGCTTATAATCTGATCCTCGGTGGAAAAAAGTGAGCCACAAAATGCTTTGATTATTTTTTATTATTTTGACAGCCGCTTCAGAACTTTGAACTACCACAATCGAGAATCGAAAAATTCCCTATGGTACAATGATTATAATTGAATCGATTATAAACACGGTCCCAAACAGAGCCACGATCGAGCTCAAAGAGGGGACACATCTCACCACCAAAGATAATGAAAGTTGCTCTTGTGGCTATAATAATGCTAGGTTTTGGGAGGTGGATCGATCGCCACATGAACAAATAGCTGTGTTCCTCTTGTGGCTAGATAACAAGCAATAGCAGTGTGCATGTGGGGACTAAAGAGCAAGATATATAGTGCGTAAGTGGGGTGAGACTTTGAGAGATGTAACGTTGGGATAATTAGATCTTGGATGCTTGGTAAGCGAACTCGATCTATAGGGAGTAATAAGGAATAATATAAACCATCATGATTCATGCTTTTCTTCGTGATGGTGAAAATGTTTTGGAGATGAAACAAGAAAAAAACTTGGAGCATTAGTTGGAAGACGCGTCTGTTTAGAATTTAAGGGACGACCAACATTTTGCTATGATCATCATAATTAGTGTTGAAGCCATCTTAGAGAAAATCATAAAACTTTATAGAAAGATCTTCCATTTGACATCCCATGGTTATTTTCAGAGCCCCCCTCCCCCAAAAAAAGTTTGATATTTTGCTCTTATACATGCATTGTAATTGACTAGCTAATTAATGTTGAAGCCCTATAATTGGTGGTGGTTATATTTTTGAAGGTTCACGAAAACCTTTCCACGCCTTTTTTTTTGTGAAGAGCTATCATACATTTTGGCAGCTGAAAGTTGATAAACCACCGGTCATGATGCAAGTGTTGCGGTATGTGGGATTAGTGCATCAGTATCTCGCTATCATATTGCTGTGGTATAATGTACATATACTAAGTAGAAATTCTCTCATGTACGTTGAGACTAATTCCTACGTACTCCTAAGTGCCAAGTACAAAATGTTAAGGAGAACGACAAGATGAGATTCTTATCAACCGCTTCACCTACTATACCATTTTTAAAAATAAAGGAGCTAGGAAAAGGCCCGCAGCGAGAAAGGGCTGAGATGTGCATGCAGAGAGGCATCATCTTTTACCGTGATAGTAGCAATAATTGATTTTACCGTAGCATTGGTCTCCAAAAGAGAGAATGAATGTGTTGCTACAAAGTTGATGCATGGTTTGTCATAACTCCTGACCTTTCCCTTGGTGTATAGGGTTTAGGTTTCCTTGCTGGAGGATGATTAGGGTTCAGGGCTCTGGGACACTGTTATGCTCATGCATGATATATCTGACCATACATGCATGATACATCTGATCATACATGGCAGTAAAAAGACAGGGTGGTGAAACAGTGGCTTGACCCACTCAAGTTTGGTCCACACTCCACACCCCCATACATATGCACACACACAGGGAGAATCCTACTTGTTGCCAAAGCCAAGCACTGGGAGACAAAGCCCAGTCCAGGAAGGACAGCACTACTGTGCAAGTAAAGGGAGAGAGAGAGAGAGAGAGAGAGAGATGTTGCACGCAAACGTCCATACAAAAAGCTCAAGGTTTTCTTGGTAGGCGCACATATAATGATATAATATCTGCATACACACTCGCATTCAAATTAATTCCGTGGTGTACATGGTTGTTGCATTTGTGTTGGAGATAGATGCTGCATTAGGGCCTTACGCAGATGTGTACAAGCACAAGATTTTACACCAAGGCCCCACCGTATGTATGGGTCACGCACGCAGATGAGGCAGCAGGACGAAGAGGAGAAAAAGGCCCCTGCTGGTGAGGGGTGACAGTAGTGCAGTGTGTCATGCATGTCGCCGGCCGGCCCGGCTACTAGTGCTCCGGCGGTCCGGCGGCCTCCTATAGGGTTTCCCGCATCTGCGCACAGATACGTATATGTTTGTCTGCGCTTGCGTATCATCATATGCATGTGTGCGTATGAATGGGATGGATAATCATCAGCACGTTAGTTTCGGCTTATACGATCGTATACGATTGTGGATTATAAGCTGGAACAATATTTTTCTCTCACACCAAACTAGCCAACAATACTTCTGACTTATAATTCACGATCGTTTGAGCCGAAACGGACAGGCTGCATGTCTATAGCTAGATAGAAGGTAGCTAGCTCGATCTAGGGTTTGCTTTGCTTGGTTGGTGTGCATGAGATAGCTATCGGGTGAGGAGCCAAGCCAGACACTGCAGTGTGTGGTCATGCTGCAAGTGTACATGTGTCGGTGGGTGGGTTATGTGGCATCATATTTTAGTGTGCATGCATGTTGGGGGACCTCACCTCCACCCTGGGACCGGGAGCTATATATATGCAACTTCTTGCCAAATACCATCAACAACAGCCTCACTTCATGTCTTCATCTTCCTAGCTAGCTACTCTCCATTTTTCATTATTCTCTCCATCGCCGTGTAGTCCTAGTTCAGATGTGTGTGTGCGCCATGAGCTTGCGAGGGAAGAGGAAACAAAGAATATGAGCTTGCATGTCCATGGCATATTGGAAGGATGGTGTATAAGCAAGCAATGGCGGCAGGAGATGCATGGTGATGGAGGAAGAGGTGAAAGCTAGGGAATATGCCTGGCTCCCTGTATGCCACTCGCACGGCTACCATGCACCCGGTGGCCGCTGCGGCTGGCGTGCAAGGTGCCAAGCATGGCCCTCATACCTCTCTCTCTCTCTCTCTGTCTCTCTCTCTCATATTTGATCGCTCCGTCAAGCATTTCTCATTGTTCACATTACTTTAGTCGCCGATTCGTGCACCCGCACGGACCAGCTAGGTGCGACGACATGTTTCAATCACTAGTAGAGAAACGACTTTGATCCACTTCGAAATTTGGTTTTAGTTCCGATATTTTTCGCGCCCAGGACTAGAGAAATATTTAGTACCGGTTGGTAGCTCCAACCAGGACTAAAGGTCCTGCCCAACGGCTACTGTGGCAGGTTTTTGTTGCAGGGGACCTTTAATCCCGGTTGGAGCTACCAACCGGAACTAAATGTTAACTTTTACTCCCGGTTGGTCACTCCAACCGGGAATAAAAATCTACTCCCGGCTGTAGGCTCCGTCCGAGACTAGAAAGGGACCTTTAGTCCCGGTTGCTGTCTCCAACCGGGACTAAAGGTCACCAACCGTCCGACCTGGGCGTACGTATACGGGAGCTGAGTCGATCGAGACACTAGGAGTAGCTAGCTGTTCACCGTTTTAAGCTAGCTGTTCACCGGGCACTAGCTAGATGTTCACCGGGCTTAAATCAGCAAAACGTAGGAGTAGCTAGCTGTTCACCGTTTTTAGCTAGCTGTTCACCGGGCTTAAATCAAACGGGCTTAAATCAGCTAGCTGTTCACCGTCAGTACGTGTAAGCCAACAAAACAGTCTGTCTCTGCTAGCTAGCTGCTACACTAGTACGTAGGAGTAAGCCACCGTCAGACACATGCATGCGTATCAATTAGTCCCGGCTGGTATTACGAGCCGGGACTAAAGGTATACCTTTAGTCTCGGCTGGTATTACCAGCCGGGACTAAATGTCTTTTAGTCCCGGGCGTTTATAGGAGCCTCGATGGGCCGGCCCAGTACGCAATATGCTGGAATTGCTGGCCAGTCCCACATATTAGCACCACCTCGCTTGCTCAGAAGAGTGAAAGCTAACTTAAAAGCTCAGCTCTCGAACCATGCAGCACGAACTTGAACAGGATCTGCTCTATAGGATTGTACCGCTGATCCTTGACTAAAGGTCCTTCGTACTATAGTTTATACAAAATGTTGAACATTATAAACGCACGTATATTCTAGCAGTGTAGAACGCGTATTCAAAAACCAAAACGAATCATCAATTAAAAATAAGAAAAAAAAGAAAATAGAAATAGAAACAAAAAAAAGAAAACCTTCAGTTCGGTAGTAGCGTGAAAATAGAAAAAAAGGAAAATAGAAATAAAACAAAAAAAAAACCTTTAGTCTCGGTTGGTATTATCAACCGGGACTAAAGACCGGATCTCACGGGTCAGGCGGGAGGCCTCTTTAGCCCCGGTTGGTATTACCAACCGGGACTAAAGGTGGACCTTTAGTCCCGGAGCGCTGAAACCGGGACTAAAGGAGAACCCTTTTTAGTCCCGGATTCGTGCTCCCGGTTCCAAAACCGGGACTAAAAGGGGTTACGAACCGGGAGTAGAGCTAGTTTAGCTAGTAGTGAATTATTTACAGCCCTAAGAATCAAACTCAAACTAACCACTCCATTTTACTATGTTTCATTCGTCACACAAAGAATTGATTGTATTCCCTTTCGATCAGATTATTAATTACAAAGTTGAGTATATATTTGGATCCCTTGCTAGTTAGGCTTTCATTCAGTCGGATGCAATGTCATGTGCATTCCCCCAAAATGGTATAGGACCTATCTGAGAGCTTCTCATAATATGTACAATCCATGTCTGTTGCATGCCTTGCCTCTAGTTTAATATTTTTAACATATATAGTCTTAATTTTTGTGAATTAAAAAAACATTGTGTCATTGAGGATGTTATGTCGATATGATATTATATATTATATGAACACAACTATTTGAATTTGATATATATTGATCATATACATATTTGACCATCGAGATGTTTACAATTTGATATGACTGCTGCCTACAGTCTTGTAGTGTTTGACTCTTCACACTGGTACATAAAAATGTGCATTCACTGAGAATAATAAGCATATACTACTCAGGTCATTTGAGGCCTTTCTATGAGCCCTCATACATCTCTCTCATTTGATCGATCCGTCTACTATATTTCTCATTGTTCACATTATCCGTGCACTGAGCACGAGAACTAGATCCAATTTGACATATGCATGTTTTAGTTATTTACAGCCCTAAGATTCAAACTCAAACTAACCACTCCATTTTTATATTTCATTCTCGTCATAGAATTATCTGTATTCCTTTATTCAATTTGAATATTTAATTACAAACTTGAGTATACATTTGAATCCCTGTTAATTAGGCTTTCTGTCGTAGTGCCCCCAGAATGGTAGGACCTATCTGATCTTCTCGTATATAAGTCATAATTATGTATAATCCTAATTCATGCCTGTTGTCTGCCTGCCTCTAGCTACAAGTTTAATATTTTTTGACATATACTTTTTGTTTTGTGAATTAAAAAACCTTGTCACTGAGGGTGTTATGTCGATATGAATTCTTTTTTATCAAAGTATCAGATATTTGTGGGGTATATGTATACAACATTATTTGGATTTGATATAGATTGATAATATACAAATATTTGACCTTCCACTTATAGTACTACTCATGTAAATGCTGTACATGTGTTGGTTATCATTGAAGTGCTCTTTGAGCCCAGCTACCAAAGTATAAATATATAGTCGCCATCACTAAAATGTTGTACATATACATGCTCTGATCCAGAAATGAAAAATGTGGTAGCTATCCGCCGGTTCATTTTTTCCTTGTACAAAATTCCTCATTCATGTCTAGGTTTTTCTTCATTTGTACTATAGAAGTCTCAAACATATATGTAGTATATTATTATTGTAGGAAGCTGACCTATATGACTGCCTACAGTCGTCCTGGTTGGCTAGACTCGGCATACTGGAATATAAAAATGCTCATTGAGAACAAGCATACTCAAGTCATGTGAGGCATTGTATGGTCAGTTTGGTATAAAAATGCTCTTGCTCCGCAAACCTGGGCCTGGGCTCGTGAACATGGTTGATCAATTTCTATGTAGAAAGCCCGACTAGCTAGTAACCTGCAGCCCTGCCCATGGCCCAATACATGAAACAAACCGGCCCAAATGCCCCACGATGATATATATAAACTTCCGCTTACCCTAAGTCCCCCACCCCCAACCTTATTTTCCTCCGCGAATCAGCGACGATGCAGTGCAGTCCGCGGCGAGAGCGGCCCTCAACCAATTCCGTGAGCTCGCCGCCGCGGCGGGGACCTTCCCCGTCGGCTCCCGGGCCCGGCACCTGTCGACGACGACGACGACGACGGGAGCGAAGAGGTCGTCCTCACTTGACGAGAGTGCGGTCGCTGATCGTGCCGCCGACGAGTTCCGCAAGGCCGATCCGCCGGCAAAGCCGAGGCTGTACATTGTGTATCTAGAGCCAACGGCGCTCAACAAGGCCGACGTTGATGTATCCAAGAAGGCCGCCGAGCTGCACCACAGCATACTGTCTTCTGTCGTCGGGAGCGAGGAGGAAGCCACGAGATGCATGGTGAGAAGCTTCGCATATTGCCATGCGTTCTCGGCGATGCTCACCGACTCCCGGGCCCACGCTATTTCGGGTCTGCCAGGAGTTTTAGGCGCAAGTCCTAATACTGTATACCGTCTCAGTACTCCTACGATGGAAGCTAAAGCAATCATGGAACGCGTGAGAGCTCCAAATGCTGCTCGTCGTGATGCTGATCAGTACACCTACGACGGGAGCTGATGAAGCAAATCATCATGGAGGAACGCTGGTTGCAGGCCGCAAAGCAAGATGAGGATGATCGTGGCGCCGATTAAATGAACACAGGTATAATAATTAATAAAGGTTAGTGATGCCAAAGGTTGGAGCTTAAACAAGTGGAGAAGAGATGAGAGATGAGACATTAAATCCCAGTTCTCATCTAGTCATGTATTTTTCTTCCTATATCTTGGATTGGTAATAAGTAGGAGTACACTTTTAAATAGCGCGGCTGGGGTTATACATATTTATTTCACAAAAATAAGGTACCTACTTAGAGCTTAGAGAGATCAATACCAATGCTGGCTTCTGTTTATGACCATCTTTGTTTGTGTGTTAGGTCTTCAACTTGAGAGCTTCAACTGTAGGCTACAACTTGATTTGTGAAATCCCAAAGCATTAAGTTGTTCATTACATTCCCTGCTGTGGGAAATCCCAAACCATGATCTGGGAGCTTGAGTGCTTGAGTATAGCTTTGTCATAAGACAGTGCTAGCTGGTCGAAATGCAGATCATAGATCAAGTATGGAAGAGTTCTGGGAACTGGTCCGGTGATAGGCCGGTTACGAAGCTTGCGGGTCACCCTCCAGACCAAACTCTTTTTGGTTAATTTGAAATTTTGTCTGTTAAGGTGTTACCTATAAAATATCTAGCTTGGTTTTGTAAGGGGCGTGCCCGGACTTCTCATCAGGCCTTGATCGCGTGTTTGATTCCCTGTTTCCCCAACTTGTTCATTGAATTATTTTTGCTACAGGTGTGGGCGTTCGAAATTAAATAAAAAAAACAAGAAATGTACTGCATGAGTATCCGAATCGAACCTTATACAACACTACAAATGCTGCAGTTCAGACATACCCATTGCAAGATCAACCAATTTCTGTCCATTGAAGCGATCTCAACACTTAAAGGTAGCAATACACAATGAAGGATAATATAATTTGTGGAATATTGGATATATTGCATTGGACCTCATGGGCTGATTATATAGGGTACATAGGACTAACACCTCACATGGGTAGACAATGTGGTACTATTCCTATTTACTCTAACATCCCCCCGCAGTCACAGCGGGAGCACTAAAGACGATGAGACTGGAGAAGAAGCTAACGAGCGAACATCCCCCCGCAGTCATAACAGTCGATGTGCCGCATATGATGTGGCAGGAGAAGAAGCCGATGAGTCGTCATGCAAGGCGGTAGCCCTTTGTGCTGATGTCGAGGTAGCCGAGCGTGAGGGCGCAGTAGCTGTGGTCGAAGAAGCCGTGCTGAAGATGGCCGAGGTCGACGTAGTTGTGGTTGGGTTACCGTGTCAAGGGAGCTGCAGGCGCACAAGGGGCACCATGGTGATGACGGAGACGCGTCGAGGTAGTCGTCGTGGGAGGAGGCAATGTCGAAGTCAACGCAGTCAGGGCCATCATAGACGTAGAAGAAAGGCGACGACGCAATCGAGGCAGACGGGGTGGGAATGGGAGGGTCGATGCTAAAGTCGATGCAGTCCAGCCGCCTGAGCGCCGATGCGCGACTGGATTTGCCAGATCCAGCAACGCGTCGGGGACGAAAGCACACGACGGTGTTGTCAATACCGGGCGTATAAGGGAGAGGGCCCTAACCGTGTGGTTGTGCGGGACGAAGAAGAAGCAATGCGGGAGAGGACGCATTGACGAGTAGGACTCAGCGACGACGCGAGGCGGCGGCCAGACCGGCGAGCAGGGCTCAGCGACGGCGCAGGTAGGGGCAGTTCGATGACGAAGACCCAATCAGCAGGACGAAGACCTTGTGCAGACTGATTGTAGTCGTCGATGCATAGGGGATGGCGATGTAGATGCAACGGCAAAGCGGACACACGGGTGATGGTGCTGCGGCCCGATGAGGTGACACAGTAGCAACCTGTTGCCTCCGATGATGACCTTTCTGTCTGGGAGGACATCTTCTAGTGCTATTGACTTTGTTTCTTCTTGGTCTCTGAGGTCTGTTTTGCCCTTTGGCATGTCCGTAGGCTCCGGTGGGTTGCTTTTTGCTGTTTCAACAAAATTGATATTGCGCTGAGATCTGTAGATTGCTCTCTCTATATTCCTTGCCTCCTTTTGACTGTTGTGGACTATGATGATTCCATATAAGGCTGATATTTCATACACAGATAGCCCATGTGGATGACTGCGTTGAACTTGTTTGCAAACCCTCTTCCGAAGATGGTATTATAGGGGTAGTAGAGATCTACCACACCGAAGGTTATATATTCTGTTCTTACGTTTTTCTGACCTCCAAAAGAGACTGGCAAGGATATTTTCCCTAATGCGTCGATCCTTCTTCCTCTGAAGCCTATTAATGGTGTCCAAAGGCTGCAACTGACTCCTGCTTAACTTCATCTGGTCGAAGGCATCGACGAAGATGATATCTGTAGAGCTTCCGAAATCTATGAGAACCCTGTTGATTTCCCATCCTTCAATGTTGGCCTTGATCACCATGGCATTTGTGTGAGGGTAACTTTCCAGCTGCAGGTCTTGTTCTAAGAAGGTGATTGGTGTCTTCAACCAATCTGTGTAGCGTACTGGGCCTTGGACTACTATATTGTTAACAAGCCTGAGGTGATCCTTCTTCTGCTTATCTGTCTGGAACTCCATTGAAGAGCCTTCAGCTATGGGCAATATCATGCCGATGGTGGGTAGGGGTGTGTGGGGGTTGAGCTGGTTTTCTAGGTTAGGTTTGTTTTTGACTGTTGCTGGTTGTACTAGAAGGGGCAGAGGCAATGCCTCTAGCTGCCTATTGTGTACTTATGGTGGTTGGATGGTCTCGATGAACGTTATATGCGGAGGTCTTGGGTTTATGTAGGTGAGGTTGGCTTCTGTCCTTTGATAATTGCTAGTTTGCCCCTGCTGCTGGGTGCTTGGTCGCCATGCGGGTAGGAAATTTGGGTAGTAGGCGGTGGCTAGAGTGGATGGGTGAATTTAGGTGGAGTTTATGCTTGGGTATATCGGGCAGTATTGCTGCTGATGGGATGCAGCGAAGGTATGGCTTACTTCTCTTGCAGGTTGTTGAGGCGGAGGCTACGAATTTGCTCTCTCTTGATCCTTTCTTGGGTCTCCTTAGTGTCCGGGCAATCCCTGGTGATGTGCCCCTTGTTTTCTCCATGAAAGAAGCAGTACTGTCTTCGCTGTCTTTGGTTTTGGTTTCTGTTCCAGTTTCTGCCTTGACCCTTTCTCTTGCCTTCGGCTTGTTTCTGAGGCGGATTATTCATACCTGCCTTCGTCGGTTGCTGCCCTTGTTGACTGCTTCCTTGCTGCTCTATATTGAAGACCTGCTGGTTTTGCCCTTGCTGTGGTTGCGACTGCCTTGTCTTCTACTGCCGTTCTGGGCATTCCTGTTGTTGCCCTGGAATTGTTTGCTCTGGTTTTGCTCTTCTAGTCTTCTACGGAGGTCATTGTCGGATCTGCAATAGTTCTTGAATTCATTATAAAGGTCTTCAATGGTCCTTGGCTTTTCTCTGGCTAGTTGAGCTGCGAAGGGTGCTATGCAAAGGCCCTTGATTGCTGCTTCGATAGCAACGTTTTCCAGAACATTGGGTGCCTTTGCTTTCATTTGTACGAATTTTTGGAAGTAGTCTTTCAAGGCTTCTCCTTGATTTTGCTTGCATTGGAACAAATCCATCGAAGTCAAGGATTCGCTTGTGAATCCCTTGAAATTTGTTAGGATCTTGTCACGAAGATCTTCCCATGAATACATGGAGCTTGGCTTTAGCATTGAGTACCAGGCTACTGCATCGCATTCGGTTGCGATGACGAAAGATTTGGCTAGCACTGCGTCATTCCCGCCAGTGGAGGCTACAGCTGCCTCAAAGCTCATGATGAATTGGCGTGGGTCCGATCTTCCATTGAACTTGGGCAAGGTGATGGGTTTGTATGAGGGGTGCCAGGGTGAGCTCTGGATGCCTTTGGATAATGGTGATTTGGAATCAATGGTTCTGTGGACTAGTGGCAAAGTATAAGGCATGCCCAAGGTTGGTTGAGTTGTTGCGCGTGGCGGGGGGTTGGGTTGGCTTTGATTTGCTGAGTGAACTAGTTGGATGTGTTGAAGCTAAATTGCGAAGGCTGCATGTGTTGTATTTTGGCCTGTAGGACGGCTAGCTGCTGCTTGATCTCCGCTGCCTGAGCTGATGCTTGGGCTACCCGTTGGTTTGCGACGAAGGCTGCTGCGATCCTCTCTCTTTCTTGTTGCATGTTCAGCAACTGATCCTGTAATTGTTGAAGCTCTTGCTCTGGGTTTGGGTTTGGAACTTGTTGCTCCTCGGAAGCCGGAGGTTGGTCTTCGACGACCGGCTCTTCCGTGGCCTGGTCTTCTGTGGCGGTAGCATAGGTGCTTCAGGCGCTGCGCCTGGGTCTTCCCCTTGGTGTGGGGGTCCATAGGTGCCCTTGCGGAGGCTACTCTTTTCCTTGCCATTGTGAGTTTTGCTTGGCCAACACGCGGTGGGCGCCAATGTTGGAAAGTCTAGGGTTTCCAGCAGACGAGGAGCGATGAGTCTTCGCCCAGTCGGATGCACCGGGTGAAGATATGTGACTTGGATGGTGGGACCTAGCCCAATCAAGGCTTCATCAATGAATTCCCCCAACCGCCTTTACATAGCATATGGCTCCTCCTTTTTATAGGGCATTGTTTGCTACTTCTGCATGTTACAAATTTACCCTTTGACAACTAAGGTACATTCATGGTATATCCTAACGCTAGTATAGACCTCCAGGGGCATCTTGGGTTTTGTCTTCCAGCACCATCTTTGCTTCTTGGTCCTTAGCCTTAGGCCCATTAGAAGCCAGTCTCCAATCCTGGGTTGCGGTGCTTGTGAAGGCCTCATTCCCTGGCGAAAACAGCAAGGTCTCCACCTGAACCGCTGGTGCCTCTGCTCTCGCCTCTGAGCCTCCGCCCGTGGACTCCTTCGGGCATCTTGTAGGATCATGCTTAGGCCTCCGCCCAACCGTCGGTCGGTGGCGGAGGCCTT